TTATTCGGCTGAAACGGGACCCGGGTCGGCCGCGTCGCCGTGTCGCCGCGTCCGGTGGCGCTCCAAGTGTTTGCCCTGGCGCGGCTCCACCGAAAGCGAAAAGCTGCGCCTTTTGATTAATTTAGCCTCTCGCTGTGCTTTTGTCTTTCTGCCGTTTGCATAAAAATGGAGTCTGACGGATTTATTTTTGTCTGGTCGCTTTTTGTGTGTGCGTCGGTGCCTGCTTTGTACGCATGGTGCTTGCTCATAATGTCTTGCCATGCTTCGTGCTCCGCGCGGCCCCGCGTGCTTTCGGACTTGAATGCCCCGGCGTGATGGATACGGTGCATTCTTCTTTCGAAGGGGTCGCGATGCGGTCGGGGGGAGGATAGGGCGTGACGGCCTCGGACGGCCGCCAAGGTCCCAAGCGCGGCCCTGGTTTGTGCGACACCCGCCGGGTCGTCGAACTGGCGCCGTTGGACCGTCCGGACGTTGGCTCGTTAGGTCGTTAGGAAGTTGGTTGCGCCGTTGCGCCGTTGCGCCGTAGTCCGCGGGCCGGAAGGCTGCGCGAGGCTCGGCGAGGCTCCGCGAGGCTCTTCGGGGGTCGTACCAGAGCCTGTTCTCCTTTGTCACGACTTGACCCGCGTTCTGACCTCCCTCATCGACCACCCCACCTACTCCATTCCTTATCTCCCCTTCTCTCTCTCCCTCTCGCTCTGGCCGGCGCCGTCTCTCTCGGGCGTGCTCCGCGCTCCCCCTCTGACACTGTCGGTTGTATCTCCCCCCTCCCGCCGCCCCCCGCGGCCCCTCAGCGCGGCATGCAGAGGCCTCCCCTCCGTGCAGCCCCACCCCCGCGGCCCCCGCGGCCCCCACGGCCCCCGCAGCCACCAAGGGTCAGGGCTTCCTTCTGCCACGCCCCCTCGGCCCCCGCCGCCCCGCCGCCCTGTGTGGCCCATGCCAGCGTGGCCGCGAAGCACCCCGTGGCCAGGCGCCGCCATGCGCTGTTGCCAAGTCGGCACGCCAAATTTCCCATACCGAGAGACCGACCGAGGGGTGCGGTGCGGCTTTCGAGTCGCTGGCGCCGTTTCCCCACTGAGGCACGCCCGGCACGCGTTCATTTCGGGCTCATTTTCCCGCGTCGCTTTTGCGAGACACGCAGGTGACTTCAACCCTGTGTTCCGTGAGCTTCTGGGAATCACTATCCTGACTTGGCCCGTCCACCGGAGCCTCAAATCGCATTTGGGTTCAACAAAGGCCACTAACAAAAACCCCGCATGCGTATTTTCGAATTTGGGGCGGCAAGGCGAAGCGCTCTTTCCACTTCCCAGGCGGTGGTGACGTCATCATCATGGCACCGCGTTTCTCCCTGGGCTGCCCCTCGCGCTGTCGCTGAGCCTTCCTGGCCTGGGCCTGCCGCGGATTGTGACTTATGGACCAAGTTTCTCCGTGCGCAATAAAGTCTGCCGCCGTAATACGCCGGGAATACTTGCGCCACAACAGAAAAAAAATCGGCCATAAACGTTGGGGAAGAATCGGGTCGGCGGTCTCCGCGGCCTTGCTGACAGCAGCCGGTTCACGCAGCTCGCTAAAGGACCCGCCAGAAAATCAGGCCGTATCGCCATTTCCTCCGCAACACGCGTGGCGACGGGAAGTCATCGAGGGAGTTTTGATGACTGGCAAACAGGCTGCGGAAGCTGAAGCAGCGGGGGCGGGGCGGGGCGGGGGAGGGTTCCGGAGGATGGACCGCCGAGCAGCCGAGCACACTGTCGACGTGGACGTGAGGTTGTATCCACTCCAACTTGGCGGGGGTGTTCTCCAACTTTCTATCGGAAGCCCCGGCCAAAGGCAGCCGAGGAAGCCGACGGCAAGGAGGGGGCGGGTCGACGCTCCGTCCTGTCTCTCTCGCACCCCTGCGAGGCGCCGCGTGCGCCGCGTGAGTGCGGCAGAGACAGCGCGACACTCCTTGGAATTCGTCCGCTGGGCCCCGGGCCCCGGACTCGGCCAACACCACGGCCGGTTTGTTGTGGAGCAGAAAGAAACCAACACGAGGAGAAATGTTGGCCAAGTCAGCGGCGCGGCGTGGCGCGGCGCGCGAGAGAGAGTAAAGTTCCTGTTTCGCGGCCGGAGGTACGTGTTACCAGTGAGCCTGCCCGTACTTAGGGGTTTAGGGCTGGCGAGAGTGAAACCGGGGCGCGGGAAAAAGGCCCCCCGCAACCCCAGAGCCGCCCTCACGGCCTGCTGGACAAACGACCCCAGAATTCACTCACCGCCGAACCCCTGAAGCAGTATCCCTTACGTACCAGCCCCTTCAAATTCTTATCATGACACGGATAACATTTACACGACACATTTAAAAAAGTTTCATTCACAGTTTTCTTCTGAGTTGAGTCTCTTCTCGCTCCAGACATCATCTCCGGGCCTGTCTCTAGGCCGGCCACGCTCTTGCTTAGCGGAGATGGTCTGGTAACGAGACAGCGAGACAAAAAGCCGTATTCCGAGTGTGCCGCGGCCTGGCCGGCTGGCTTGGCCAGGGCTTGGCGCACCGCATGCATAGCCGCAGTGCACATTGTCTTAAAAGACGCCAACTGCCGTTATGGGTGCTGGCCATGCTGGCATGATACCCTTGGCAGCCGGGCGGGGCTGGCGGGGCTGGCAGCTGGTATGGCGCTCCCGCTCTTGATGGCTCTGCTTGGCGAACTGCCGGGCCGACGACGGCCTCGGCCTGCTGCCCGTCGGAGTGCAATGATGTCGTCAGGGGAGTGTCGTCCTGGGTCCATCTGCCCCCCCCCCCTCTTTCCCGACCGCAGCGCCCACTACGCTCGAGCCTTTCTATTTATGATCTGTAAACACGATGAATGGTGAAAATTTCATTTTCCGGCGGTGGGCCAGCTGCCGGCTGCTGAAAGTGAAATGGGCGCCGCGTTTCCGATAGCGGGGCAGCGCAGCAGCGCAGCTGGCGGATGAATAATTTGGAGACACTTGGCTGCAGCGACTTCCTTTCTTTATCTGCTCTGCAGTGAAGCTCGCGGAGGCACACTGCGAGAAAGAAGGTAGTTGGGAGCGAACGTCTCAAGACGTCCCCCTGACCTTGCCGGCCCTCCTGGTGGCCCCTCCGCATCGCCGCATCGCCACGGCACGGCCATCGCCGTCCCTCTCGGAAAAAGAAAGAAATGGTGGCGCCGCTGCGACTTCTCGCCCGCCTCCTCCGAGACCCTCCCCTCCCCATTGCCAATCACGGGGCGCTAATCATATCAACATCCGGAAATGCGTAATTGAGACAGGGCTCGTCCCGCGTGCCCTCGAGTCCGCCATCCGCCGCTCTGCGTCGCCCCCTCCCCTGATCCCCGCTGCTGGCGCGCGCGTCAAGACCACCCCCACCCCTCCGCCTCTTCCCCGGTGCTCCCCGGGGCGAGGCTTGTTTGGCTGCCGCGTGCTGTTTGCCGGCGAGAGGTCTGATGTGAGCTGAGCCTTCTGTGCCGGCGGTGCTGACGCCAAACCGTTCCTTCGTCCTAACCTTGACTGCGGCAACAGCGGCGCAGCGTCTAACTGCCGCGAGTCATGGCAGGGCCTGTGAGGCCTGCGAGGGCCTGGCCCTCCGCCCTTCTCGCTTTACTCCTTCCTCCCTGGGCACCTTGGGCCTGGAGTCGCCTGGAGTCGCCTGGAATCACTCGGGGCGGCCGTGCAAACATCACGGTGAACAAAATCGGGATAAAAGAGCCTCGCAGACCTTAGGACACTTACCTCTGAATGCACGAAATCAAGCACAAACAACTATTTGGTGTGTTCAAAGTACGGCCCTTTCTGTCTCTTTTGTGCGATGGTGCCGCTGCGCCTCGAACGCAGGCTCCAGTGAGGCGGGGACGGCCGCACCTCACCCTGCCGGCCCTTTGTAACGTTTATAACCCAGCAGGTCGAGGGAAAGTGACCGTATCCGTCCGCCCGTCCGTCGAGCCGACACATTAAGAGTGCACCGCTTGGGCCAGGCATGGTGGTGGTTGTTTGCACACCAAACATGTAGGACGCCGGCAAAATAAGCATTTCATAAGGGAATTTTCCCCTTACAACGAGCAGCGTTCTCCTGCTTTAGTCCTGGAGCCTGACCTCCACCTCCAGCTCCGCGAGCATACCACTCGAGGGCCGCAGTGGTTTGCCAATCTGCGCCTTTGCAAGGCCGAGCTCGTGGCCTCGCTGATAGGCGAACCGCGTCCTTGCTGGCATCCTTTGTTCATTTCTGAGGTCACGGCGCAGACTTCCCCATTCCCCCTCCCTCTCTGGTAAAAGCTCTGAACGCTGGAACGCCCTGCGCATCCCCCCGCGGGGCCCCGCAGACCGCTGCGGGGTCACTTTGGGGCACCGCGGGGGGCAGCCCAGCCTGGCCAGAGCTCCGTGGGGCACCGTATAAGCAATGGGGCCACGGCGGGCCCCCTGTGTGCCACAGCCCTGGTGGTTCTCCTGGTGGTCCTGCCGGTGATGCAGCAAGAAGCTGGGGGTTTTCGCGCGCATGCTCCGAACGTCAGAGCTCACCCTCACAGCGAGCTAAGTCCGTGGTTTCGTGTCGCTCTCGCACTCGTTGGGCGCTTGAATGGCTACGAGAGGGACCGAGCGACGAACTTACATTCGGCACCAGCCTGCGGGACAGCGTACTCGCTGCTGAAGAGATCGAGTTCCCCGCCTTCTGCCCGCCTGTTGTTGTTCTGGTGCTTGTTTTTAATTGTCGACCCGAAACACATTGACGACGTTTGCCGTAGGCACGCCGCGAGCGAGCGCAGATTCGCTGCCAACTTTGGCCATTTCAGTTGAAGGCTCCTCGCAGTGAGGCGAAGCGTCGCTCTGCAAGGCGGTGCCATTACTCATGCGAGACCGTCGCCTCTTTATCACAACACGCTCCCCCCCCCCCTTCTCCCTTCCCCCATTATCCCCCTACACACACACTCACACACCTGAACCGCGACGGTCGAGCGTTGAAGCGACAAACTGTAAACTCGGGAACGTCTGCTGCTGCAAGGTCTATTTGCAAGCGTACCCGGCAAAGGAAAAGACAGGCTAGAAATGCCTTCATGGTGCTTCAAATGCCTCCAACTCTTCAACAATTTTTATGAAGAGATAACACAACGCATCGTTGTTGTTAGACACTCGTGGGCCTAGCGAACGGTGACAGTCTCAGTGAGTGAACAGCAACGACAAGGATAGCAAAAATAAGGACAAAAAATAAACTTCGAAACTAAGTTACCATTTTGCGTGGAATCAAATTCCAGAACGCCGGTGTTTCGACAAGCCTTAAGAACACGCGTTGCTCTTTTGCCAGGTCGCCGCTGCCGTGTATGTCGCGCGCGCTCTCTCGAAGCCGCCGGTCGAGCTCTCGAAACGGAGCAAGTTCGACGTGGAGGAGGTGGCGTCGGCAAGCCGCGCCAAACTCCGCCATGCATGTGTGTCTGTGTCTGTGTCCGTGTTGACTCTTGGACGGCCCGCTGGGCCCAGCCCTGCCTGCGGCCCGCCCGCGGACCCACACATATATACACACCCCGGGCTGCAGCCTGCACCAGGCCTGCACCGACATGGCCGAACATAACCTCTCTCTGCTGGCGCTGGCGCTCGCCGTCGTCGTGGGGCCCGCCGCAGCGCAGGTGGGTGTGCTTGTGTGTGTGCATACATGTGTTTGGACGGAAGTGTGTGTATGTGTGTGTAAGAGAGAGAGAGTGCAGGAGCAGGACCGACCGAAGTGTCTACATGTGTGTACATGTCCGTGTGTGTGTGTGTGTGTGTGTGTGTGTGTGGGTGCGAAATTGCGGCCGCACTCACCTGTTTGCAGCGTGGCCGGCTCAGACCAGCAAACGACCACATGTCTGTCTCTGTCTAGCGTCCACGGTGGCGGTCAGTAGATTGTGCCCCGTGTGTGCGATGTGGACAGACTTGCTGCGAGCGGCACACACAGACGGGGCGCGCCAACCCGCCGCATGTGTGCATGGACAAATGCGGACCCAAAAACAAAAACAAAAACGTGGCGCGCGCTATCAACAAGCTGCAGTGAGTCAGTGTGCCTCCACCGACGCAGGCCTTTGTAGTATTCGCAGTTGGCGGAAAACTACATCTATTTTCAGCTCGATTGCTGTGCTGTCAGCTTAGTACTCTGACGTGCACAATAAGCGTCATAAAATCGGTGAACTTGTACAGCGCCACCTAAATTAATTTTAGAAAATCGATTGATTTTGTTGAAGAAATAATTTTGAGATGACAGTCCGGGCGCCATGACCACGTGACCCATTGTGTGATGTCATCGCGCTCTGACGGGGTCGTGTTTTGCCATTCGTTCCGTCCGGGCCGCCCTGCGCGGGTGGGGGTTCAATTCCCGTCGATTCCGAAACGCATTAGGCGATACTTATTTATGGGCGCGATGTGCCTGTATGGCCTGTATGTAGATGCGCATCCATCGCGTGATGAAAGCGCTGAAAGCGGCGCATCGAAAACACCAAAGAGCCGCTTCTGTCCTCGTCGCGCTGCCGAGCGGTCCGGAACAGTCAGTTTGGGGCCCCCTTCGTGGGGAAAACCGGGCCAAAGCGCGAGGCCCCAGGGAAGAGGGGACCTGTGGTCATAAATCGTCCAGTTGCGCGCAACTGCAGAGCGGGGTGGATTGTGTGGAATAAAAGGCGGGTCAGACACGAGTACGATGGTGGGGTGCTAGAGGGTATCGCCGAGAACAGTGAAATGGATTTTTGAGTAGTAATCAACACCCATGGTGGCGGGTCGCCACTTCTTTTCTCATATTACAGTTCAACAACTGGCTCCAGGCTTCCATCGCCAACTCGGTCTCCGCCAGCCTGTCGGGCGTGTCCCACACGGGCATGACGGACAGCATCGTCTCCGGCGTGGAGAACGGCGCCGACAACCTGCGCAAGACCCTGCAGGAGCTGAACGGCACCGGCAACAACGCCGTGGCCCTCGCGCAGGACAAGGTGAGCCCCCACCTCCAGGAAAATTGGAAATTACAACTGTCAATTCTACTAAATATGTTCGGCTAATGCACCGGGGTTCATCTCGTAAGTGGTCCGGTTGGCAACATTGCTAATAGAATAACTAGATTCCAAATTGAATGAAAACGGCTCTCGATGTGGCTGGTCCTGAAGAGATGTATAGATGGCCCATCCGAACAATCAACCATGATTGAACCCTGAAACCGGCAAATATTTTCCGTTGTTTCTGACACTGCATTTCTCATCCCCCGCTGGGCAATGGTTCGACAGGTTCGGGACTGGTACGCCGTGCGGCTGGCGGCGATCTGGCGCTCGCCGGTGGCGTACGCGCAGTGGCTGAACCCCGACGTGGCGGACGACGCCTGCCCCGAGGACTCCGTGCTGGGCCACCTACTCCGCGACGCCGAGCGCGAGGCGCTGTCCTGCGTGCAAGACAGGGTGCCCCGCGGCATCCCCGACGTGCAGGCTAGCGTGGCCTCGGTGCTCGGCAGGATCAACCAGTACATGCTGTCCGTGCGATCCCAGGGCGAGGAGTGCGACGAGGAGGTCGGCTTGCAGGTACCGAAGTGCACTGGTGGCGGAGGCCCTCTTGGACCCTCCACTTTTGGACACTCTTTACATTGTCTCCTCCCTGCAGGGCGTGATGTGCAAGGCGACTCGCCTGGCGCCGATGGCCGGCATGCTGGGCTCGCTTGGAGGCGACGTGGGCCGCGTGGGCGGCCAGATCGGCGTGCTGGTGGACGGCACGGCGAGGCAGTGCACCGTGCAGGCGTCCCAGTCCCGCGAATCCCTGGCCACGGCCGCCGCCAACGCCGCTGCCGAGTGCATCAAGGCGACGGGAGGCAACGCGGGCAACATGGAGACGGCCAGGTACTTCACCAACTGGAAAAACTCCAACAATCTCATCACGATCCGTTGACGGCGTGGCGGCCACTCGGGCGTTCACTTCTGCGTTTCTCTTCAATCCCTCACCTTGATGAACTTCGGGACTTGCACCCCGTCCGGGCCGGCGTCGCCATCCCAGGCTGTGGTGGTTGGACTGGCAGCTCCGCGGGCCGAGCGTGGCGGCCGTGGCTCGTGTGACGCCGCCGCCAACGGAAGATTCTACGGAGTCAGGATCGGACGAGCACCTGCTGCCTGCCGCAGACAACTTCGGCCGCCAGCTTTTACCGCACCACAACGACCATCAGGGCTACGGCCATCGTGGCCACCGAACCAGCAGGCCGCAGACCTCCACGACCAGGACCTGGAAAACCAAAGCCAGGCGGGTCGTCAGGCGCCGGACCACGCTGCATATTTCCGCAAAATAAAAGTAGTGACCCCGACGCCGGCTTGGATTTTGGACCCTGTTCCCCATCTCACGGCACCATTCGCTCTCTTTCCAGTTATTTTACCGGAAAGATGATGCGGGTGTGGGCCAACCCTCGCAACTGGAATTCAATTCCGCTATTCCTCGCGGCGTGGGGTTAACGTGGCCGCCGTGACCCCGGGGTTGCCGCGGTCCCTCTCGGTACGTACTCGGTGATGACGCGCGGCGCCAGGCAGCCCTTGTGCCGAGCCCACCACGAAGCCACCCCACCTGGAGGCCCTGGAGGCCATGGAGGCCCTGGAGGATGCGGCGCGGCCCATTTGCATGTCACAGGATTGATGCGGGTGAGGAGGGTGTTCCCGGTGTGGCCAGCACGCCGCGCGCCACGCCAGAGAGGCAATCTGCCCAAGACCGCCCGGCCCCGCGACCGCGCCTGTCCCTCCCCCGTCCGTCCGAGGGCCTGTTCGTCAGTCGGCGTCAGCCATTATGTCAGTAACTCATTCAGTCTGTCGGTCAGTGAATCAGTCAGTCAGCTTTGGGCATCTGTCTTCCTGTGGAACGCGGAATGGCCCGTACAATGTGTACACGAGCAAGGGCGGGATGAACACGTTCGACACGTTCCGCTGGCCCGCTTGTTTTCGCCCCCTCATTCCATTTGTCCCTGCGAAACTGCCGCCATGGTGTTCAAGCTGTGATTATAGCCGAATCCCGTGCGGGCGGGGGCTTTCAGTGTGTAAGTGTGTCGGTGTATGCGAGCGTGCATGTGTTTGAGTGTGCCTGTGTTGCTCCCTTGTCCCCGAGTTCGCACTCTGGAATTTCTCCCAATCCAATTATTGTTTCATAGATTTTCATTACCGTTTTTGTTGCGCTGGAGGCCGAGAGACCGGGCTTGGCCGGGCTTGGCCGGGCTTGTCGGGGCCCAGCAGGCAGGATGGAAAATAATTCCGGAATTGGCGCGCACGGCGCAGGGCGGCGCAGGGCGGCACGGAAGCAATTTCTGGGTGGGGCGGCCTTTGAATACGGCCCCGTTTTTAGCCAAACTTGCCGGCGCGTTCCGTCCCGCCGCCCTCACGTCGCCAAGGGCGCCAAGGGCAGCCGAAGCCGAGGCTCTATTAACATTACTTCCGATCGCCTCCTGACAGTGTGGTGGTTGCTAAATGCTTCGTTTTATGTGGGGGCACTTTTCTTCGCTTTGTTGAAGGGGTCCTGCGGTGCAGCCCTTGGTCCAGCCCTGCAGGCCTTCCAGGATTCGGCCCAGGGTCGTTCCAGGCCATGCTGGTCGTTACGTAATTATTGGCGGCACGTGAGGCCCATTACTTATCAGGAACATCCCCCACCCCCAAGCCCATCGCCCCAGCGCCTTTCGCCACATCGGTCCTCCCTGCCAAAATATTCCCAATATTGCTTTATTTTGTATTTTATCTCTGCAGTTTCTCACAACCTTTCTTTTTCCCTTTTTAAATCAGCATCACCATTTGTAATCGGATTTATTTCTGGTGCCTTGTGAGTGCTTTTGCTCCATGTCCGCGCCATTCTAGGCAGTGGAATCGTCGAGCAAGGCGTCTTGCCCTGTTGATGAGCCGCACCGCGTGCCATAACCGAGTCAGTCGTCATAAAGGAGTGACGACCCGGCGTTGAATTATTGAAAAATAAAAGTGCCCGGCCGGGACTCGGAGACTCGGTCTGAGAGCCCCAGACACTTTACTGTCTGGCTGCTGCAGCGACATTTGCACAAGCCGCACGAGGCGAAACTGTCTGATTGAAAGCGTCAACGTCTGTGGGGGACGCCCGCCCGCCCGCTGCCAACGAGGCCTGCCTGCCTGCAGACGTACGCAAATTTAATTTTGGTTAAAGTCTCAACTACGACTAACGAACTCGCACCGGCGGCTTGGCAAGCAGCCAAAACGTTCTCCCCACACTAGTACTTGCATGCTCACACAAAGCCGCACTCGAGCGCGCACACGCTACATTCGTTCCACGCACTTTCTCGACACACGCACGCACGCTCGGGCGCGCATGCACACACATTACATACATTACGGTACGCACGCACAGATTGCGGACGCACATTACAAACACAGCATGCATTCTTTATTCGCGTTACAAACGGCCGTGCCAAAGGGCTGGCTGGGGCTGGCTGGGGCTTGCCGGCCCACCCGCACATTGAGATGCACCGCGTGGGCCCCACTCCGCCTCTCTCACACCCCCACGGCTGCCCACGGCCCTACGGAACGCTCTATGAATGCGAGAGAGACAGAGCGACAACAATGCGCTCTTCGGAGTCACCCCACCGTGTACCTGGCACCCCGCAGGAGCTTTACATCTACTCCGCCAGCCAGCGCGCGTGTGTCATGCTTGTCATGCTTGGCTGTTACTCGCTGGTACACTGGCACATGCAGTGGTCGAAATTCACTCCGTGAGGCGTCGCGGGTCCCTCCCCCGAGCCTGGCCGCCCTGGCCGGGCTGCCGACAAGTGCAGGGCAAATACAACAATGCTAATGGCCTCATCGGTGTGGAGTGGTTAGTCAGTCCCTGGAGCCACACACTCGATAGACCGTGGGGGCCACTCGATTCCAGTCGATAGTACAAGGAAGAGGGAGAGATAAATCCGGGTTCCTATTTACGGTGAAGCGGCCAGCCCCTCACGTCTGATGCATTATGGGACTCGTGATTGGACGATGCAGGTGAAAGGGGGGAGGGGGGAGGACAGTACAGGGGGCGATGAGATTGAGTGAGGCGATCTACCGTCCTCAGTCCAGGCCATGACGAACACCCGACGAAGAGAAAGCAGTGCTGCCGGGATTTGAACCCTCGGCGCAGCGGCGCGCTGCGGCCGTTCACCTGGCCGGGGTGGCGGCATGGCCGTGTAATTTCCTGAGGGACGGCGCCAGGAAGACGATGGCAGCTAGTTATGGCGCCAGTTATCCCCAAGTCGATACTCTCTTGCAATCGCACGACCTCTCTCTCGCACTCATGGGCCGCCCCGGTGTGCGCGAAAGAGAGACAAGATCGACGGCACTCTCCATGCCGGCCGGCCTCAAGCTGCCACGTAGACGGGGCCACCAGAGGGGCAAACACTTTGCCTTCTTACTGGACGAGCTTTGTCTTTTTGCCTACAGTACTGGTGGCTACCTAGGGGCTGCAGAGGATTGGATTGTCTTTTTGCGCCCCCCCCCGGATCTTCGCATACCACCCCCGCAGCCCTTCGGGCCCGGATCTCTCTCTCTTCCTCTCTCTCACTCTATCACTCTCTCTTTCCGAGGCCGTCTTTCCCCCTCTCAGGGCGCAAGACCGAGCGGGCCTGCTTGCTTAACTTGAATATTCATACAGCTCTCTGCTGTACAGCAGCCTGCCTCGCCTCGGCCAGGGCGGCGGTGGGGGGCGGTGCGCGCACAAGGGTATATAATGTGAGCTTTGCAGAAATGCAGAGTGGCGTGCGATCCGGCCCCCGCCGTGGACGAGGCCGGGCCACGCGAACGCTGTCAGCGGGAAGCCGCCCCGGGCCCGGCGCGCCACTGTCGGATCCAATTATTCTGCATTTGACCGACTTTGTCGGTCCTATTTGACCAAAGTTGGCGCCCGGCTGGCACACCTCGCACGTCGCGAGCGTGACTACCACAGTGACTACCACACACGCAAAAACTTTTACCAGGCTCGCAGTCGCTCGGAAAACGGGACAAGCAAGAACGCCGCGGATTTTTTTTATTCGACAAATTATGAAACGGGGTCAGCAAAAACTCGGTGCTCCGCTGCGCAGGTGGTCGGCAGGTGCAGGCAGATGCCGGTTACGGCCACGCATATTCGATTCGTTATATTTCGCCAGTGAGCGCCGCAGCGCAGCGCCGTGCCGCCAGGGCCAGGTGCGCCCCGCCGAGGGCCTCGCCCCTCGCCTCCTCGCCTCCAGAGCCCGTTCTGATTGGAGCAATTACAGCCTCTGCTTTTCGGGGCGATAGACACCCCTGGAGACCGTCGCGAACCAACCGTCGATTTGTGATGATGACATCATCATCGTCATTTTCGAATTGGCGAAAAAATGGTCAAGTATTATTTTTTTAGAAGGTGAAGGAAAAAAAAACTTTTACCAGTGCTGCTCCCCTCGGTTTCGGTCGGGCTTTTGTCTTTCACCGAAGCTCACGTGCACTTGGCCGGCAGAGGGGAGAGAGAGAGGGGGGGGGGCAGTGTATTGAATGGGAAGCCGCGCAACCGCACTTACTCGGCCAAATCCGCAGCTCGAAGGCAACGCTAACGCCGGGCTTAAGTGAATGTTGTAGCGAATCTCCATCCCCTCCACGCCCCTCCGCATCTGCAAACCCGTCCCCTCTCGCTACCCCGCGCCCTGCAATGTAGGACTGCATAGGAAAAACTGGCGAGCGCTTTTTTTGCGTCGGGGATGTGCACGAGCAGGGTACGGCCCTCCCCTCCCCCACTGTGTTGCTTCAGACGCGCAACAGAGACCCCTCGAGCGGGGCGGCGCGGCCGAGGGCGGCGGCGCGTCACCACACTGGCGCCATCTAGCGGAGGGTGCTGCAAGCTGCGTGACCCCGCGGGCCGGGCAGCAAGCCGGGCAGCGCTGCGCGAGGAGTCCTGCCTGGCCGAGGCCAAGAAGTCCGAGGCCGCCGAGGCCGCGCACCCTGCCGGGACTCTGCACTGCACGACGGAGCAGTTCCCGTTTTTACAGTGGCAACAAGCGAGCGAAGCAAGCGTGTCTGCCGGCAGGTCGATACCCGAGGCGTCAAAGTTGGGCTGCCCCCGGCACGGACGTGCACTGCACGCCCCCGGCACGCCACATCACCACACACGTGTCACTTTCCCATCAGATCAGAAGGGCTTTTACCCAGCAGCATTCCCTTTTTTTTCAGCCCACTTATTTTTCATGGTACTTTTTTTTGTAAAATAAACTGCATAATGTTTGCCGGGACACTTAACTTCCCTCGAGTTTTTCTTTTAAAAAAAATTACGGTGGAATTTTAAAAAGAAAGACCCATATTTTCTTTTTTTTTCTCTGCCGCTATCTCGACCCCCGCGCGATGCAAAAGATGGTGCTGTCTACCCTCTGTTACAAGAGAGCATACATAATCAACACACAGACACACACACGGCCACGGCGCGCCACACAGACACACACGTCGACTTACATTCCATCAGCCAGTCAGTCCCAGAATCGATCCCGGATCCATTATTCATCGCCGCACGGAACACAGGGCGAGACTCCGGTTTTCGTCACACCAGTCGCGTTGCCGCTGGCGCCGCGCCCTTATTAGGACCTTGTGATTCAGGGTCGCCGCGCAGCCAGTCTGTCTCTCTCGCACCTACAGCCCCATGAGAAAGACGGAGAGAGGGTCGACTCTCAGTCTGCAGGGCGACGACGTAACGAGCCCTTCCGGTGCATCGGCACTCCGTTGTGACTCCACCCTCGTCGTTTTCCGAGAGGACCGCGGCTCTCGCACCCTCGGGCCATCCCACGGGTGCGAGAGAGACCGAGCAGGCCTCCTGCCTGTGCAGCGGGGCGCGCACACTGAGACGCAGGGGCATAAATTCTTTTGTGGGCGCGCCCGTGCGTGCGCGCGTGGCACGGAGCGCGGGGTCGCGGGTTCGAATCCTGGCGGGCGGGTGATTCGAGGCGTGATAAAGCACGCAGGCACGGGGCAGGCGAAGCAACGCGAGGCAAGGACACAGGTCGGGGCACGCCGAGGGGCATGCGCCCCGCCGCACAGTGGGCCAGAAGACCGGCGGAGGCGGCCAAACCTCTAGACGCGTTTCGAGCTGCAGAGTAGCCAAATGGTACTCGAATCGAACGTGTGACCCCACCAATGGATTGCTCTCCGAACGAGGAATCCATTGGTGGGGTCACACGCTCAGTTCGAGGCCTGCTTGGCGACTCTGGAGCTCAAAACGCGTCTCGAGTTTAGGCCGCCTCCACCGGTCTTCTGGCCCACTGTGCGCTGCCGCCGCTGCCGCGTTCCACCCTTTGCTCGGCGCAGCTTTTACTGCTGCGTCCTCGTCCCCCCTCTCGCCCCTCTCACTCCCTCTCGAATCCCCCGAGCCAGCCGGGAGTGCGGACCGACGCAAAGGAAAACAAAGGCACAAAAAACACACGGTTGGCACAGCCCGCGCTTGCTGTTCCTCCAGGGGTGGCTACAGACGCGGCCCTGTAGGCCACTGCAGAAAAAGAGGTCAAGAAAAACCTCCAGGTGTCAATGAGAATAGCTACATTGTTAATTAAAACTCTTACTGGTTTATACGTAAAATTTGACTTGCGTCAGGTTGGCGCTGCTGGCCGGGCCTGGGACTGCAGTGCTGCCTTTACGGCTGCAACCGATCAGCCACGCCACTGCCATTACGCGGGCTAGGTTGGCCATCCTGCAGCGCATTGCAGCGCACTGCAGTGTGTCATGAACGGGCCGAACGGGGCGTCCACGGCGCCCTCCCGTTCCCATGGTTATGCAGCATGCCGCATCGAGGCGTTTACTGCCGAGCGCCGACCGACAGTGCCAACAGCAGTGCCAACCCACCGACGAATAATACTGCGGCGTTTGCTCACTGCAGTGTGCCGGCCCGCCTGCAGAGTTCCTCTCCAACATGCCTCCGCGAAGCATGGCGGTATAGTGTTTGCGAGTGAATGTAAGATGTCGTGCTCGGAAGGTGTGAGGTGTCTGGTGTGCGGCGATGGAGCTCTAGGCAGTACAGTAGAGCAATCCCCCACGCGACACTCGGACACCCGGCCCTCCTCGGCAGTACCCCGCGGCGCGGCGCCGACCGCTCTACCCCTTGCCGCGGCCCGTCGCGGCCCACCGGCGCTACCCCGCGCCTCTCACTCGCGGGGTATTCCCGCCTTGGCAGCCGAACCACATCGCGTGGATTCCCCGCCGCCGCGCACGCCGACACCGCCAGCGGCGCCAGCGCGGTGCACTTGTTGAACCGATCGCGTCCCACTGCAATACTAATCGTGATTGAGTTCGCGGGGAGGAAAATGTGCATGGCAACCCTCCAAAAAGTAATGACTGGGTGTCCGAATGACGTCAGCGTGACGTCAAACGATGCGGCAGAAACTAGTCCGCAAAAGGGGAAGGCGGTCGGGTTTGAAATGCTAATTTGCTTTTCCGGCAATCGGGAGTTCGATATCGTCCGACCCGGCCTGCATGCAGTGCGGGGCCGGGGCGCGAGGCCCAAGGCCGTCGGCCAAGGCCACGCCCGGCACGCGGAGGTGCTAGTGCGGCACGGCGGCACGAACAATGGGGTGGCCGGTAAGGCACCTCGGCCACTTCACCAGCTTTATAGGGGCTGTGTCTCCAAGATGATCGAACCAATCCACGGGTTGTTCGTTCGAATTTCAGAAGCTACTCGTTGGAATACGTCGTCACGCTAGCTTTGCAACATGTGGCCGTTGCTACCAAAACTCAGAAACTTGTTAATTTGCTCTCCGGTCACCATTCATTCCTCCAACGGCCCGACGGCTGCAGGTGACGTGAAAGCAGTGCGGAAAACCCGGGAGGTACCGCCGCACCGCAGCGCGCGAAGAGGCGGCGCGAAGGCTGCAGGAGGCCGGCCGGCGGCCTTGCCCGGCCGGCCAGCCTTGCCACACGTGCCCCAGGGACGAAGGCCGAAGATGCAGCTCGGTGCAGCGATGCAGCAGCAGCATGCAGCCCGCTGTTGCCATCTCTACCGGTCGCTGACCCCGGTACCCGGCACCCCGGAGCGCCGGTACCGACAGGTACCGCCAGGGCCAGGTACCGCCAGGGCATTGCAATGCGGCGGCCCAGAGCGCGTCGCGGTGACGCCTCAAGACCGAGTCGGAGACTGCAACGCGCGCCGCGGTGCTACAGTCCGCGGGGCGTAAGCGCTCTTCGGCCGCCGGCCGATTATTTATTGCGGAAACGGCAAGTTACTCCGGCGCGGGTGTCCACTCGCTGTCCACGTGCGAGGCCTGCGAGATTCGCAGCATTCGCAGCACGATCGGACGGAGCGGGACGAGGCGGGCCGCAGCGGTCAAGCGTCGATTTATTCCTCAGTGTCACGACGGAGAGAGAGAATCCACCCAGCTGACCGAGGACAATTCCTTGAAGTAGAGGTAACTGTAAATGTCTGATTCGACCTCTGCGCGCCGCTCCTCGTTTTGCGTCCCAATCTCGGCACTCATTTGCATACGCGGACAGGCTCGGCATGGTCTGCCACCCTCGCCGGTCGCCAAGCGCGCCAAAGTTGAACGCGCGTGATCCTCCCTCCAGCCAATGGGCGAGCTCCTTGAGGAGGCTCGCCAGCCCCGCGGGCCCGGCGGCCCCGGCCCAGTGGCTGGCAGTCCTGCCGGGCCGCGGCGAGCCGCCTCGGTGACGCAGGGACGCAGAGACGTAGAGCTCGCCGGGTACCCGAGCCGGCGGCCGAGCCGGCGTCGTGCGTGCCGTGGTGCCGTGGCCGTGGTGCCGTGCAGTCCAGGAGCATCCAGACACCCGGGCAGCCGCAGCAACACGCAGGCGAGACAGTCCAGAGGTGAGTCCAGGCAAGCCTTACCTCGCAATCCACCCTCCCCCTGCCCATGGGGGCGGATGGCTAGACGGTCAGCACAACATTTCCAGCCCAGAGTCACTCCAAGAAGGACTCTAGTCGTTGGGAGCCCGGACGGAGTCCTGCGTCTGCAAGGTGCGCCAGCCTTACTGAAACCCTGCACTGCGTTGAGACCGGCCGGCAGCGTCAAGTCGCCAGTTCAGTTTTACACTCCCCGCCGACGCTATCAGTAGCTGCTGCTGCGTGCTGTGACCGTGACCGAGCCCACACTGCCGGGCTCGCAAAGCCAGTTTTCAGGCAGGGCGTTCAGTTTCAGTGTTAAGGGCTTTGGACAGCGTCAATCTCTAGCCGTGGTGTGCAGTGATAGCCTGGAGGTGTCAGTGGTCTTTCGGTGCTGTTCTTCAGTCGTAATGCCATTCATTAGCCTGGGCGTTCAGTGTTGGTGTTGTGCTAGGGCCGTCGGTGTCAGTCTTCAGTCAGGCCTTTATCGGTGTTGTTAGCTCTTGAACTTCCAGGGTTTTCAGCTTTCCTTCTCCTGGCGACGAGGGGGTCACCGCCACGCTAAGCAGACACTCTTTCGGTCAGTCAAGGACTGTGATTAGTGCGGACTAACCGCGGAAACCGAAATCTGGAGCGAAAACCTCCGTCCGAGTGTGGGAACAATCCTCCCTAATGAGCCATGGTCACGACAGGCGAGGTGTCAAAAAATCGGACCGGCGGGAAGAATCCGGCCGATGTGACATTGCACGCGACAGCGCGACACTGCCTCGCCGGGGATAAATCGTCGCGTCGAATTGCAATGAGCGTGTTGTGTTGACTCAGCTCGCGATAAACTCGCAGAGAGACTCGCAGTGGCAAAGGCGGCAATGGGCATCGCGGGCATGGGGATGCGGCGTGATGTAACGAGTGCCGGCCAGCCTCCAGGACGTGTTGTTGTTGTTGTTGTTGTTGTTGTTGTTGTTGTTATCGTCCGTGCGGCTGCAGAAGTGATGACGCCGTGTCTCGCGTTTGGTTGCCTCTAGGGCGCCGCCGGCCGGTTCCGCGTACGGTATCTACTTTCGCGTCTGGCTAGTGAGCCCCGTACGCGTGTCACAGAGAAGGCACGCCGCAAATTCGCGGAACCGGGCGGAAACGCCTCCGAATCGGACCGCAACAAACAAGCCGTCGGTACCCCGCGTGCGAGAGACTCACAATGCTCGCCGCGTGCAAAGACCTTCGCGCGAGGGGTCGCGACGGCCGTCCGTTCCCCTGGGCCGCGGTTCGTTCAATTAGCTGCCGGTGCTCTAGTTGGTTTGTGGCGTCTGCTGCGCTGTCGCCCGCATATGCGCCTCCTCTCGTTGCGCCTCGTCAATTGAGGCACTGGGGCGCCCCCGCGTAACGATGAGGCAGTGAATCCAATTGCGGAGCCCGCTGTCTCCGTCGCACGCCGGCGGAACGCTCCCCGAGAGCGAGGGAGACAGCGCCACTTCGGCCATGCTGGTGGACGGAGTTGTCGGAGGAGCGGGGCGACAGGCGCTGATTTGGAGGAAAGCGGTGGCAACATGAGGGCCGAGGCTTCATCGATGTAGTTGCTGTGGAGTGGGAGTGATGACTAGATTTAAAATAACAATTAATTCCAATTGCTTTCTCTATATTTTCCCAACGCATTCCCTCGTTCACTTATTTTTACAGTGTCTTCTTGTCAATGATAGCTGACGTGCCATGTTTGCGGTCCGCTAGGTCGTGAAGCAGCTCAAGTCGCGCGGCCACGATGGAGCTGGACACGGCGCTGGAGGTCCTCAGCAGGATCTGGGGCCGCTTCCAGATGGTCAACTACTCCCTGCTGTGCGTGCCCATCATGTTCCACGCCTCCTTCTACCTGTCCTACGTCTTCACCGCCAAGCAGGTGGAGCACAGGTACGTTGCAGCAGGTTACGAACTCGGGCAAACTTAATGAAACGCCATCTTGTAACGTTTGTTGACGCGCCAGGTGCTTCATCCCCGAGTGCGAGTCGGACCCGCTGCTGGCAGACCTGCGCCCGGCGTGGCTGCCGACCGCCATGAGGGACTCGTGCTCCAGGCTGGCCACCATCCCCGACGACAACTCGACGTGGACCTGCACGCCGGAGTCGTTCACCAACGTGTCGACCACCTGCAGCCAGTGGGTGTACCCGAGCAGGCAGCTGTCCATCATGAGCGAGGTGCGGGGCGTCTAGTGCACAGTGGACTCTAGACGAAGTTTTGAGAGTCGCGAAACTGTGCGGTGGTGTGCGCCTTAAATCAGTTTGAGCTTGAAGCTGAGTGCGGCTCTGGCGTTGCAGTGGGACATGACGTGCAAGGACAACTGGAAGGTGACGCTGGTGGGCACCATCAACAACATCGGCCGCTTCTGCGGCATGCCGATGGCGGGCCTGGTGTCGGACCGCTTCGGCCGGCGCACCGTGCTGCTGGCCGGGCTAGCGCTGGCCGGCGTCATGGGCCTCATGCGCTCGCTCGCCACCAACTACGTCTTCTTCGTCGTGTTCGAGTTCCTGGACCCGCTGTGCTACGCGGGGCTCTTCAGCGCCGCCTTCATCCTCGGTCAGTGTTTCAATTGGGCGAAAATTCCCGCCACGCAGCAGAGCCTCAAAAGTACCCGGGCGTTGACGGAGGCCTTTAACCGCAGCTAGATGGAACGCAGTTGTCACCCAAAGTCATAAAAAGAGGCCACTTCTAGCCACTCCGCGAGCGCTCTCTGCGACTGTCTCTCATGCTGTTTGCAGGCATGGAGCTGATGCCGGCCAAGAAGCGCGTAATCTGGAGCGCCTTCACGCACGGCGTGTACGCGGCCGGGGAGGCGCTGCTCGGCGTGGTGGCCTGGGCGCTGCTGGACTGGCGGTGGACGCTCAGGGCCTTCTACGGCCCCGCGCTGCTCAGCCTGTCCGTGCTCTGGTGAGTGAGCGGCCGGCCGCCTGCGAGGCGAGTGCCGCCGGCCCGTCGAGCGTGCGCGCGCGACGGGTTGCCTACCCTGCCGGGCGCTCACGCCGCCGCCGCGCGCCGCTCTCGTCAATGCTAGCCGTGTTTGTGCTCCAGGGTGCTCCCGGAGTCCATCCGCTGGCTGGCGTCCAAGGGCCGCACCAAGGAGGCCCTGAGCATCATCCGCAGGGCCGCGCACCTGAACCGCATCCCCGCGGACCAGCTCAACATCGACGACATCAAGCTGGCCGCGGCTGCCGACAACGAGGTCAGCGCTCCTGCTGCATGCCTCGAGGTCCCTCGGCGTTCGCGGTCGTCGTCAGGGTGCAATCATTCCGTCTCGTTTTCCAGACTGCGGGCGCGGACAAGGACGAGCAGACCGTCTCCCAGGAGCTGCGCCAGACGCTGCGGTCTCGCGTCCTGCTGTGGCGGCTACTCAACTGCTGCTTCTGCTGGTAAGGCGCCGAACCACCCCTCGCTGCGGCAGCACGCCGGCGTCGAGCTAACGGCCTCTGTGTCCTCCAGGCTGACCAACATGTTCGTGTACGACGGGCTGTCCCTCAACTCGGTGGCCGTGGCGGGCAACCAGTACCTCAACTTCATCCTGGTGTGCCTGATCGAGGTGCCCGCCGGGCTGGCGGCCTGGCTGCTCATGGAACGCGCGGGCCGGCGCGCCTCCATGTGCTCGTCGCTGATCCTGGCCGGCCTGGCCTGCATCGTGTTCCACTTCCTGCCGGCGGGTGAGGCTGTCCTCCTCTCAGCGAGAGAGACAGAAATACCGATCGTCGGCAACCCTGGATCAACTGTTGAAAACTTGTTTCAGACTTGGCCTGGGCGCGCGTCACCGTGTTCCTGCTGGGCAAGTTCGGCATCACCATCTCCTACACCGTCATCTACGTGCTCACGGCCGAGCTGTTCCCCACCAAGGTGCGCCACTCGCTGTTCGCAGTGTGCTCCACCATCGGCCGCGTGGGCTCCATCCTGGCGCCGCAGACGCCGCTGCTGGCCCGCCACCTGGACTCCCTGCCCCTCATCATGTTCGGCTCCATGTCGCTCCTCAGGTAGGCCGAGTCCGTTTTGCTCTCGCGATCACGCGCCCAAAATAACCCTTTCGCCTCGGCAGCGGCGTCCTGGCCTTCTGGTTCCCGGAGACGCACAACGTGAAGCTCCCCGACACCGTGGAGGAGGCCGAGCAGATCGGCGTCCGCAAGAAGACGGCCAAGAAGGCCCCGGAGCAGCAGGGCCACGTCAACGAGGTGTTCACCGTGGAGGACAGCGCCCCGGGGGCCACCAACGGGCACGCGCTGGCCGTCGACGTCGACCTGGACGCGGAGGCCGGCCCCGAGACCACCAGCGTGCGTCTGTGAGGCCCACCGCGCAGTGGCGATACCCCGTGCGCCGCGCCGCTGCGGCCGGCCTACCCCACGCGTCGAGAGACTCTACTCATGTCGCGTTGCCTGGAGGCTAGCGCCACCCGCGGCGCGCGGCCAGACGGGAAAACAAGAGTTACTGCTCTAGGCGATAATTAATGAATGGGAAAGCAAGCAAGTTGCCGAGCCGCTGTTGACATGAATAGCGAGGAGTACGTGCCATACCAGACGAGGGTTTTCTCCAATGCTTCGGGATCAGTATTATTAGGGAATGTTTATTCAAGGCTTTCCAACGTCACACCAGATTGTGCGTATCGTCGCAGACATGTCTCTGCTGCTCTGAATCTTTGGTCTTTGATACTGCACCAACTTAATTAGTGTAATCAAGTGGTTTACATCAAGTACCTGACGAGGATCTATTTTTGTATCTTATCAAAAGATATCATGCAGGACAATGTCCGAATGCAATTCGACTACTTTTAAGTTTATTTTAATTTGTGTTATTCTCCAAACGTGTTTGCATTCCTCGTGCAACCTTGACCTGTGGAGTTACAAACTTGACTGATTAAAGAATCTTTACAACTCAAACCACCGAGCGTTGTTCTCAGCAGCATCCATAGTCGGTCCGGCTCAAGATTCAGAGCCGCTGCTATTGCCAACGGACTGCACACACACTGGGCTGGGCCTCGCCGGCCGTGGCACCAGGAAGCGATAGACGTCGCGTTGGGAGCCCGCCAGCCCGCCAGCGCGGGCTGGACGACCGTCCGACGACGGGCCGCCAGACAGGACTCTGTTAAAAATTCAGCAGGAACCAAGAGTGTGCACGCGTGAAGCGGATGGCTTCCAGCCGAGGAGGTGAGAGCCGTTTCGTCTCTGCAGAGTTAGAAGAAGACGGCTTCCTCCACGTTTAGTTTAGCCTGCCGGGTAACTGCAGTTCTGCTCTCTCTTAGCCAATTGACCCGGCCGCCGCCGCCTAATGCAACATCATCGAGTATATCCGCCGGCTACATCACCCAGTGTAATCACTGCCGATAGCCCGCGCCCCGCAGTCCTCGGCAAACACTCGACAGGGGCGTGTCGGCGTGCCGCCCGTCGGCGCGCCATCAATTTCTCATAGCCAAGATCAACGCCCTGCCGAGCCTGCAGCGAGGCAGCGAGCGACACGAGGAAGACAATGAGGAAGCGAGACGCGGCGCGACCTCGCCGCGCCTGTCTCTCTCGCTGCTCTCGCTCCGCCCGGCCGGCCCCATGGGCGCGACGAGGACGGCAAGCATTTGGCGGCGGAGCACGCGGAGCCAGACGCTCCGTATACGGCAGGCCGGCAGGGGCAGCCCCATTGGACGGCCCATCGGACGGGCCTGCCGGTCCAGCGGCAGCCAGACTACGCGCCGGTGTTGAGACGATTGTTGTTTTTCGACAGTGTCTGTGGTCGCGTTCCTTATCTGTCTGCCTGGCCTGGCGGCCTGGCCTCACGCCGGATGACGGCATGCCCAGCCCAGGCACGCCGTTGGCACGGCGCGGCCGCGCGGCCCCGTGGAGCACGCAGCTCAGCGCCGGCGCCACGCCGCCGCCGGCCGGACTGGCGATATCGTCGCAAAGCACCACCTCCCGAGGTGGCCTGACGCGGCCACGACGCCGTGCTCGAGGTGCGTAGCACAGCGCAGCACTGCGTAGCACGGGCCGTCTCGATTCGCTGGCTTCAATCTCCGATTTTCTTTCCGCGAGGGCGGCGGGCCGGCTGTGTGCCACGCGGCTTCTTGGAATCGGCGTCCGTTTTCTCGGAGCCGCTTAGCATGAGGGGAGGGGGAGGGGGCAGCCCGGCCGGCACGGCGGGCACACTGCCGGCACGCGGGGACGGCGTGGCGGCGCCGCGACGCGTTAGCGTGACGTCACTCACACACCTATGCTCATTTTTTCGGGAAGGGCGCTGGCATTCGTCACGGGACTGCCTCGGGGAAATGAGCGCTATTCCTCCTGATTGACTCACAACGCACGGTGTTGCGCAAAGGGTGCAACGGGTATCCGTTTACAATGGCTCAGCTAGGTTCGGTGCGTTGCTTTGACTGCTGAGGTAGGTTAGGTTAGGCACCCGAATCCACACCTGTGGGTAAGGTTAGGTTTTTTTTTTCGCGGCGCCCATGTTGCGCAACCAAGAGCGCCGTATCTCGGCGACATTTTCGACCTTGCACGGTCGCTCTATCGCAAACTACTGCCCTTCAGATCCGCGTACGACCCCTGGACTCCCCACCTCACTGGCCGACAGCCCTGCGGCAGCCCACACCCCGTGCCCGTGTTTGCGCACACGCAGTCGAAATACCGCTTCCTGCCTCGCCAATGCCGTGGACTGATTCGAACGGCGTCGTGTCGCTCCGTCTCTCTCGCACCCATACGGAGCGACCAATGAGTGCGAGAGAGACGGCGCGATGCGATCCGCCTGACCCGTAAAATCGTCGGCTGTTGTCATCCCGACCTGCCCGAAAACTCAACACTACGCAGCGCGTACAGTGCGCCCATTTTCGCCCCCGCCCCCTCCCTCCCTTTCTAATTCCCCGTGGCGCCGTCTCTCTCGCTCCGCCGGGCCGGCCGCTCGCTCCGTCTCCGTTGGAAACAAAGGCGGGGGCAGCCGGCGGCGGACGGCGCGTCATTTGACGACTCACCGTCAGCGCGCTCGCCTGGCTCGCCCGCCCGTCCCCCCGCGTCCCCCCTCGGCGCGTTGCCGCCGTTGCCTGGCAGCGCTACGCCTGGCTACGCTGCGCGGCGAGGTTAGACGGCCAGTGTTGTTCCGTGTACCGCCCGGGCAAGCCGTTCCCGCCGTTCGCGCTTCGCAGTGTTTTTGTTGCCGTCAGGTTGGCAGCGCGTTCAAGTGCCTCAAATCCGAGCTATCCTCGCGCGACCGTTCGAGTGGTTCCGGTGTCCTGTGTCTTCGAAGAACCAAAGGATTCAGTGGAGTGCTTCGAACCAGAAGTGGCCGAGCGGTACCGATCCATCGTTTCGGTGAAATGTGCTACCAGTAGAGTGCGCGCGCGAGACTGTATGTGTGCGTTTCAACCACGGATATTTCACCCGAGTGTCAAAAATATTTTCAAGTGAGTACATCTCGCGTCACCTGGCTGGCGTGCGTGAGTGTTTATCTGCGTGCGTGTTTTTGTTTTCTTTGCAACTGTTTGCGCATCTTCATTTCCGTTTTTTGTTTGCGACTTTGCACGTAGCTTCTCCCTGAAAATTCAAAAATATGAGGAATGCACGACAAGCGTTTCCCTTGAAATGTCGTTCCAGAAATACTCCCACATCCAGACGGATCGGGGGATACGGAAAAAAGGGGGGGGGCGCAAACGAAGACTCACTATTTCAGTGAGGATGTTTTCCTTGCACACTATAAACAAGCGACAGCAGCGATAAAGAGTCGTCCACACAACCTGTTTTTGTGTGGCATTTGACGTCACACTAGAAACGCGCCCCACTATCACCACCCACCCACCAGCATGCCGCCAGCATGCCGGGGGCATTGGATAGCTTCGGCACACACGATATAGTTTATCTTTTTTGCATCATCGCTAAATGGGCGTGAAGCGGTATTTTCCTCGATGTCGTCGTGACGGCTGGCCCCACGGCTCCATGCTAATTAATCACAGTGGTTTCTCTTCTCACCCGGCCGGCCTGCAAAGGGTGTTTCTGTCAAGGGTTAGGTTAGGTTAGGTTGGTAGCAGTGGTCATTGCCTTGTCAGATAGAGAAAGGAGGTTATAAATAGGCCCTATAGATCGAATAAACAAGTTGGGAGTTATATTTTGCCGTTGGTCTACCCTGACCTACGATCCGAACTTGACAGCAATGGTGGCCTAGCCCCGCATTGGCTGGCTGGACGCTGCTTGTCGCTCGATGCTGCTGTTTTTGTCATCAGCATGGTGCGTGCTGGCAGACTGCTGGCAGTGCTGGGGAAGGTCGCGGTGGCGGTGGGTCTCTAAGGGCCCTGCTGGATTGCACAAGGCACAGCAATGCAGCACGCACCTGACTCAGCTACCGCCGCTATCGCCCAGTCGCCCTCGCCGCTGCGTCGATGAAGCATCGCTCCTCCGGGGTCATTTTACTAACCCTTTGCCGTAGTCTGTTTCTTGGAAGTGGGTGCCTTCGGGGACACTTTCCACCGATAATTTGTGCAAAGTGTAACCATTTTCCTCATGTCTTCTTGGCAGAATGACTTCGGTCGCCACCATGCCTATATCGGAGCTGCATCGGCGCGCGACGCTGCCTCGTCTGAAGGGGACCACGCGACTCAGGGGTAAGTGCAAATGACAGTGCATGATGAAAACACTGCACAAAATTGCGAAATTTGTCAAAATTTATGAAGAGTAGTAAAATCTAGTGCATCCTATTCATGCTTTCTCGCAATTATGTTTAAAAAAATATTTTCTTTCATTAAAATTAAAAATTAAATTAAAAATACTGATGCAATCTCATCAGTAATTTTATCCCATGTTTCATGTGTCACTGAAAAGTTTTGCGAGTGCAAAGCATTTGCCTGAGTGTATGTGTGTGTAAATGTGTGTGCTCTGAGTATACACTAAAGCGGATCTTAGACGAAGAGTCGAGAGGCTCGGAACCTCTCGTTCCCAGCACGTGGTTGCCCACGCGCCTTCTGCGTGTAGTTCCCAGTAACGCCCCACGCGCCACGCACGTGGTTGCCACCCCGCGCGCCCTCTAAGGAGAAAGCTCTGTGACACAGACCATGACGTCATCTTCCCTTCGGGGGCCTCCTCGGGTGAAAGAGGACGCGAGTGCCGTCTGCAGGTCGATTCCGAACAGTGCTTCTGTCTCTCTCGCACTAATAGGGCGCCCCGTACGGGTGCGAGGGAGACGGCCCGCTGTGTGACATTGCCGACATTGCGTGCCGCGGCGTCACGCGAGACGCTGCTGACCCAGCATCGTTCCTGGGACTCCCCTCCCCTCCCCTCCCTGACCCGGTGCCCGCTGGTGCCAGCTTGCCCGCTGCCTTGGATTGGTCATCTCCGTGGAAATGTCGCCTACTTTCCGATGAGTGTGCTCGGGGCGGCCGGGCGGCCGACTGATGAGATGGATGACAGGGCACGCCGGGTTGCAACACGGACATTACGCAACGGCTCCGTTTTTAGGGGCACCTCTTTTGTTTCAGTTTTTAATTTTCTTTCGGCCAGCGGCAGCCGAGCCGAGTCGAGGTATTATTAGATGACGCCGTGTGAGGCTTCTTCTAGTCAGTGACAGTGACATTGAGTCTGGGTACGCGTGAAAAAAAAACATCTCTCCGATTCGGGGTGTAGTATGTAAAACAGTTAAGATAATGAGCTATCGTAGTACACCGTAAACCGGATGCCCTGCCTGGCCCTGGCGGCCTGCCGTGACATTCCCCGGGCTATCTGTCTCTGAACGAATTGACCTCTGCTATCGATAGTCTGTGTAATCAGTTTGGCATAGGTACGAAAAGGGGCGGGGCGATTAAGAATCTGGCGCTCGGCGTGGCAGCTGCTGCTGTGTCATTCGGCGACTGCCGAGTCACTCATCCTGGTGCGAGTGGCGCAATTCGTCCTGGATTTTTCACACAAAACGGCTGAGATAAGATACTGCATTCGGCAACATTTCAAACGACGCCGCCGCAAAACGGTTCAATCTGTGCCCGCGATAGTCAGACGTCCCAGGACGAGGCCAGTTTGACCACAACTCTCGTTTTCGAACCTTGCCGAACGCTTTCCGAAACGCACCGCGAACTCACGCACGAAACTGAAATTGGTCCCGCTCGTCCGAAACAAACAACTCCCGCCGCCTTGCCTTTTCGCCCGGGGCTTGCACGGGGCATCATCGGCCCGGGAAAGCGATCGTGCGGCGCTCCCCTTTTTACTGCCCCGGGAATACATTACGTCATCGCTCGGGGGTGGCTAGCCCGCCCCGGCTAGCCCGCCCTGGCTAGCCCGCTATCGCTCTCCTGTCGGCTGCACTGCTGCGCTTGCAGCGTGCCTGCAGGCCACCCACGGCCAACAACAACAACAACCAGGACCGCAAAAGTGAGGGTGTCACGCGGCCGCCTGCGGGGCCGCCAACAACAACAACAAGGCGTTTCGGCGGCCGCTAAAGTGTGGGTGCCACGCGGCCGTCGCGTCCGCCCCGGCCTGCGGGACTCGAGCCTGGGACTCGAGCCTGGGAGGGATGGTGCTTGATGGGGTGGAGGAAGCGAAGCGTGGCATCCTGGAGGTGTAACGACGGCCGTCTTACTGGTCTTGTTGTTGTTGGCGGCGCTGGTCCGGATATTGGGGCGGTGCTTGGCGGTTCCGCCCCGCGTCGCAGCGCGCCGCGCGCACCCCTGCCGGCCGGCCGGTCGCGCTTTTGCCCGGAAACGGGAGGAAGTCGGCTGCGGCCGCCACTTGCGCTTCTGTGTGTGTGTGTGTGTGTGTGTGTGTGTGTGTGGTGTGTGTGTGTGTGCATGTGTGTGGTGTGTGCGAGAGAGATGGTGTCCGGATAGCGTGACCGTTTAGCGCTGCGGGTTGGCGACACGTGTCTCGGTGCGCGCTCCCCTGCCGCCGCCGCCACGCCGCGCGCACGTGTCTGATAAGCACCTTGGTGACGTCACCCTCCAGGAGGGGAGCGGCGGAGCGGCGGCACGCTATCGGCCTCGGCAGCCTCACTGGACCCTTATCACGGGGCGTTCAGAGCCTGCACGGCCTGCACAGCCTGCCGTGCCAGTTTAATCCCCCGTCGTATTTCTCAGCCGTCTGTCTGTCTGTCTGTCTGTCTGTCTGTCTGTCTGTCTGTCCGTCCGTCAGTGAGAGAGTGTCACCAGCAATAAGATCGTCAGGCAGGGCAACTGGACGCAGCACCCGGTCCTTCCCTAATTGGTCTGTGTAATGTGCGGATCCGAAGCGAGGAGCTCCGTCGCTCTGTCTCACTCGCCCCCCGACGGGACGCCCTTTGAGAGAGAGAGAGAGAGAGAGAGAGAGAGAGAGGCAGAGCGACGAAGTTCGCAAAAAGCCTGCCGGCGTGTCTCGGCCCTTTTAGCGCGGCTGTCCCGGGGTGTCGCGGCAGTGCGACTGGACGTCTGTGTGTGTGTGTGTGTGTGCTTTCGGATTTGGCGCCCCTCCCATTGTAATGACTTGTCCCTCGGGATCCGTCCCGCCCGCGCCTTCCTGGAGGGCATTGTTATTTGCCCAAGGCTTTCAAGCACGCGTCAGAACGCCGCGACGCCGCACAGCGAGCGACGTCGGAGTGTGGCGGTGGGGCGGGGAAAACAACCCCGCCTGTGTTTTTTCGTGCGTTTCATTATCTTGCCTAGTGCGAGGGCTGCATGTAGGGCCCTGGGCCAAGCCGTGGGCCAAGCCGTGGGCCAAGCCGTGGGCCAAGCCGTGGGCCGCCTTGGGCTTCGGCAGCCAAACCGGGCAGAGCGGGGCAGAGCGCAGGGCGACCAATTAGAAACTCCCCGCCAAGTGCGTCGCGTCGCGGTGACTCCGCTCCTTTCGGCTCTCGAAAAATCGGTGCAGCCTCCGACAGCCATTTCGCGCCTTCACGGGAAACGCAATTTCCGTAGCCCGGCTGGAGGCTGCCATGGCGCCGTGCGGGTAGGCAGTCCGGGTGTAGCCCTGCTCGACGGGACGGCCTACCCGCACGGCGTCCGTCTCGGTCCGAGTCTTGTTTTCTCGCCACCATTTTCTTTCTAAGTTGTGTATTCTCGCAGTGGTGCGAGTAGTGGCAAGTCTGAGGTTTATTGGTGGTCCTTGAAGCTTGGCTCACCGATAGCCTTGCGGTGCCGTGCCGTGCCGTGCCGTGCCGTGCCGTGCCGCGCCGCGCCCTGCCTCCCTGACCTTCCTCTCCCCTCGTCGAGCCCAGTCGGCCCGGCTGATGTCATCCCGACGGTGCGACACTTTTATCTCGCAGTCATAATTAATTCCCCGACTCTGCCATTGGCCATCGCTCGGCCACGTGACTACGCGACGCGCCGCGACTGGCGGGGACGCAGCCATCGACTGCGCCGCTCCGTCTCTCTCGCACACCTGCGGAGCACGCCCTGGGCGCGAGAGAGAGACAGAGTGTTCGGAATCGGGCTGCAGGTGGCTGTGGAGTAGGGATGTAAGAGCAAGTAATATTACCGGTAAAGAATGGTAAATTACGGTAAAATACGGTATGTTACGCAGGCCCCGGTAAAATTGGTATTTTTAGTAATTTTGAAACTATTGTTAATTTTGAAAACAGCGGTGTCAAATGTGTAGAAATCGTCGTTTGGGCTGACTTTGGGCAGCCACTGCGTCTAATCTAAGGCGGCTAATCGCTCTCCCTCAACGGGTGACTGGTCTTTGGGCCTTCCTTTAGAACACCTTTGTTACGGAGTGCGATTAGCCGCCTTAGTTGGGAGCGGTATTGCAGCAAAGTTTGTCGAAACAGTATCAAATGTGTAGAAATCGTCGTTTGGGCTGACTTTGGGCAGCCACTGGTCTATCTAAGGCGGCTAATCGCTCTCCCTCAACGGGTGACTGGTCTTTGGGCCTTCCTTTAGAACACCTTTGTTACGGAGTGCGATTAGCCGCCTTAGTTTGGGAGCGGTATTGCAGCAAAGTTTGTCGAAACAGTATCAAATGTGTAGAAATCGTCGTTTGGGCTGACTTTGGGCAGCCACTGCGTCTGATCTAAGGCGGCTAATCGCTCTCCTTAACGGGTGGGTGGTCTTTGGGCCTTTCTTTAGAACACTTTGTTACGGTGTGCGATTAGCCGCCTTAGTTTGGGAGCGGTATTGCAGCAAAGTTTGTCGAAACAGTATCAAATGTGTAGAAATCGTCGTTTGGGCTGACTTTGGGCAGCCACTGTGTCTGATCTAAGGCGGCTAATCGCTCTCCCTTAACGGGTGGGTGGTCTTTGGGCCTTTCTTTAGAACACCTTTGTTACGGAGTGCGATTAGCCGCCTTAGTTTGGGAGCGGTATTGCAGCAAAGTTTGTCGAAACGGCATAAAATGTGCAGAAATCGTCGTTTGGGCTGACTTTGGGCAGCCACTGCATCTGATCTAAGGCGGCTCATCGCTCTCCCCCAACGGGGTGCTGGTCTTTGGGCCTTTCTTTAGAACACCTTTGTTACGGAGTGCAATTAGCCGCCTTAGTTTGGGAGAGGTATTGCAGCAAAGTTCGTCGAAACGGTATCAAATGTGTAGAAATCGTCGTTTGGGCTGACTTTGGGCAGCCACTGCGTCTAATCTAAGGCGGCTAATCGCTCTCCTCCAACGGGTGGGTGGTCTTTGGGCCTTCCTTTAGAACACCTTTGCTACGGAGTGTGAT